AACAAGAGGAGTTAAAGTCCTTAGCTGAACCAAATGAAGTTGGAGTAGACGTGGCAATAGCTAAGCATAAGGCATAAGGAGTTGATCAATGTTTCTTTCAGTCTGCTTCGGCCTCTGTGCATACTCTTTAATCTTGGGAAATAGGAGATAGCTGCTGGCGGGGAAATTCTAGAACCTCAGGTTGTACGGAAAGTCCGCGAGGCACGTCACGCTTGGGGAGAGATCCCACAAGCAAGGGAGGAATAACAATTTCTGTTGCAGCCTCAAGCATATGATTGCCTTCCTTTCTTAACACATTTATCATGACTTCCATGATCAGGCCCATATGAGTCTTCAGTTGATGGACTTCCTCCCTCAGCATTTTCTGATCCTGAGACAAAGCTTGCATGTCCACTATGAATTGCCCCATTTGGTTTTGTACTTCCTTCAACTCTGCTTGAATCTGCTCCATAGTCAACTTCTAGCTTCTTTTAAAAGTTAAGTCTACAATTCTGAAGAAAACCAGACCAAGATGAGAAGGCCAGCCTCACAACACCTGCTATGCAAATGAATATGAAAATTTAATGTAAATGCCATGTTCAATTATTTCTAAGGAATCTTTCTGCTTTTGATTTAAGTTTTTCACAGAAGAACCACATGAAACAGGTGGAATGCTCAACAGCGAGTCTCAAAGCTAAGATCCTTGGAAATGAAAGAGCATGTATGTCAGAATGAAAACATGTTATGATGATATGAATGTAGAGACATGGGATCAAGGCTTCCAAAATTTCTAAATAAATATGCTGCTGACAAAATAAGCTCAAAATTATGCTATGACGGGAATACTAGAATATCAGAGTACCAGAATACCAGGTACATAAGTTCACATTGATAAGAAAACCAGAAAACTAGGTAGGTTGAAAGTCAAGGTTTCCTGCGAAACCCGTCCCCTCTCACATGTGGGTTCTAGTCTTGGACAAGGCATCCTAGCAAGTCCTTGGTATCACAGACTTTCAGGTCGAGAAATGATGATACGATCACCATTTCTAGTTTGGCATCATCATCAATCAAGGAGGCCTCAACTGATTTCCCATGAACGGTCTCCAGAGTCGTAAGCTCTCTAAGCCAACACTCTATCATCTGCACCAGACGCATAGGATAGAATATCTTTAAAGAAAACTTCGCCTGAATGTGGGTTTCGTGTCAACTACACGTGGCCAGATGCCATGTAAGCCACACTACTCTCCACTCTAATCCTAAGTGTGTACTCAAGCCTGGGTAGTGGGCTTATCTTTCGATAACAATCCCATCCAACACCACAGCAGCAACAGAACAATATGATAAATGTAGGAAAATGCAATAATGTACAACAGATATAGCAAATAAAGCATAAAGATAAACACCCAATGACAAGAAACAGACAAGCGCTAGGATTGACTTGCATAGAGAACCATAGTCCCTAGCAGAGTCGCCAACTGTCGCAACTGCAAAAAATACCTGGCGAAAAAATAGAGTCGCCACCGAACGTTATTTATCCCAACAGGGGAAAGGAAACGATTGAAGAAAACCTCAAAGAAGGGAGAAGACATGGTCTCACAACCAGATCCTGGGTTCGAGAGTCGATTATTCGAGAGGAAGGTATTAACACCTCTCGCGTTCGTTGTACTCAACAGAATTCACGCTTGTTGTTCTAATCAAAGGGTGTGGTATCTAAAGCCTACTCCTAAACAGAAACGGGAACGAAAAGGGGAAAAACAAAAAGTGACTCGATAGGACTTCGCCGTCCTATGCCTATGTATTCCCTCGTGCAATGGGAATGTTAGAGTCATCGTAGTTCGGAGGACTACGGGTGGATGGGGGAAGGTTACTCGCCAAGAATTTTCCGTCTTGTGCCTACGTATCCTCATTGGGACGAGAATGAGGAAGTCAAAGCATTCGTGGGACCCATTGTTAAGTGTTTTTATGAGCGATGCTAAGTTCGCATTCCAGCAGTTAAGGTTGATGTTTGTTTGCGGTAGAACAAAAATAACATGCTCTTTCTGAAAATGTTTTGAAAAACAATCCCGAAGGATAAAATAATTTGCAATTTGTTTGTGACTTTTAGACAAAAGTGAATTGAATTGGTTTAAGATTCGTATTGCACTAAAGTCTATGACATCGGAGCGAATGCGTCGCATGGTCGCTCCCAAACGGGAAGCGTGCAAAACACTCTAGAAAAGCAAGGAGAGACTCCTCACTCATCATTTCCCATATACTTAAGGCTCGTGGTGCATAATACTTCTCATATTTGTTAAGAGTTTTGATTTTACTTTGAGGGAGAAGAGAGAGACTCAAAGGGCAAAGAGAAAATCTAAGGGAAACTAGAACCTAGATGTTATCATGCAACAATGGACATAAGGTCAAGATGAGAGGGAAGTCTACCCTAAAATTATCATGCTTGGATTGAAAGTCTAATGTATATCCTACTCCAAACTTAATCAGAAATTAAGTTGGACTAGGGAGCCCTAAGGGAACACGTGAGTACAGAGTAATCAACAAGTAAACACGAAGCATCTCAATCACAAAGAAAATCGAATATGAAGCAAAGTTTAAGTACACGCTACACTCATGTCAAAGTATCAAGAAAGAATACCAAAGATTCAATTAAAGTCTAAGGAGAATTAAAAGCACGCTTGTCGTTTCATTTTTTATGAACAAAAATTGACAAGAAAACTAATCTAAAAGAGTCATGATATAACATACTTTGTCACACTTCATCAAGATAACCACAATTAATCAAGATCAAATTTAAAGCTAAAATCAAAATTATAGTCAAAATTCAATCAACAACAATATCTAAATTCAATCAAAACATAGAACATGTTCAAGATCAAAATTGATATCAAAATAAAAATCAAAGTATGTTAATATCAACCTTTACTAAAAAATCAATATCAAAATCAAAATTTTAAACAAAGTCAAAATCAAGATTAAGACTAAAACCAAAATCTAATATCTAATTAAACTAAAATTTCTAGTCAACAATTATCAACAATTTTTAATCAAACTACCAAATATTCTAATTAACAAAAATCTAATATCAAAATTTAATAATTCAAAATTCTAACACCACAAAATAACACAAGGTACAGTGGAGGTTTTTAGGGTGCAAATAGAAGATAGGGCGCAAGCTTTTGTTGTGAACGGGAGAGGGGTGAAGAAGTAAAATTAAGGTGCAGAAAGTACTTTCATGGGGCCTAGAAGCCCAAAGCCTCCAAGATAGTAACGAAATTCCGAGCCTTTCCCATTACTCTGAAGCAGATTCACATTCCTACTACAAGCTCTCTCTCTAACCTTCACCTAACTGAAGAAATCCATCTCCGCCGCGTCGAAAATCGCTTTCGACGGCGGCAGAGGTTTAACCACCACTTAACTCACATCAACTGAATCATCTCCGATCACTTGTCCTGAACCTACACCTGAGTTCCCCAAATCCCAAACCTATGTCTCAAATCGGAACCTGAATTGAAATTAGACAACAATTCTGAGGAATTGACCCTTAGAGGCTTCTATTCCCCGATTCGACATCTACATGGTGGTGCCTTAGATTGAAGAAACTAACAGTGTGAAAGGTGACCTACCGGAGTGAGGTCTTTCGCCGACGAGAAGGAATCAAGCTTCAAGTATCTTTCTGCTCAATACTTTTCCTTCTAGTCCATTCTCGGATTGTCCTTAATTTCTCACAATTCCTATTCTACCATTCTAATCGAAGCTACTCGTGCCGGAATCCTAATCTCTAAAAAATGAATTGAAACGGACAAGAGGAAAGATTTGGAGTCCAAACCCCAAGGGTTTGTCTCCATAAACATCCAGCTACATTGCAGTATGCTTGAGGTTTCAAGAAATGAAAGGATGACCAACCTACAAAGCCGTGGTTTGCTTCGAATGTTAGCTGGAGAAGACGAAGGCGAAGGCGAAGCTTGAAGAATCAGAAAGCAAAAGAATCCTCTAGGTAAGCTCTCAATACGCCAATTATTCTCCTCAGTTTTTATGCTCTTCTTCTTGATTATGAGACCTTCTTTTTCTTCTCTTCTTTGTGCGTGCGTTGTGTGAGAAGTCGTTGCAGATGGTGCGTGAGGTTGTTGTTGTTAATGTTGTTAAGAGGAGGTTAAAGAGTGAATTCAACGCGTGGTAAGAGCTTTAATGGAGTTTTAGTGGAAGAGCTTTTTTAGTGCTTATGGAAAGGGTTGGTGAGGGAAATAAGAGAGAGTGAGAGTGGTAGAGAGAATGAAAATGAGATTTGAGAGTGAGAATCAAGAATTCTGGAGGATGTGAAGAAGAATGAATATATAGAAGATGGAGTGAGGGATATATTGGTAATTCAAGGTGAAATTTTGTTGTGATTCAGTTACTATTGCCAGCTAGAATTAGTTGTTAGTTAGATGGTTTTGAAATAGAGAGTTTGTTAATTGATGAGCTGATAGTTGGTTAGTTAATTGTTAGGAAAATCTGTTATTGGCTGAGCTAACATGTATTATGGTGATTTTATTAAGTCTCTGTTAGAATTATTGAGCCCAAAATGCATTATGCTGATGTGTTTCTACATGTAACTAGTGTAGTTAATTAAATGTTAGGAGTTATGTTGATTACTAAAATGTTAGTGTGAATGAAGATTCAAGTTTAATTGGTGTAGAATTATAGTTATTATGGTTATGTCAGAGGTTGTTTAGTTAGAGTCAATTATTTGACAGTTAGTTATAATTGTAACTTGGACTTGGTTTGAATGAGCTAAAATTAATGACTGCATCGATTTCTTGGAGCTTTATGTAATCCCTTTTTTATCATGAGCTACGCGCCTACTGCCACTTGAATGTTGTAGAAAGATGACTTTGAAAGTGAACTTGTGTGTAAGAATTCATGGATGCTACTGTTATGAAAATGTGCCTTTGCCTTTGTTTTTGTTCTTGAGATGTTACTTATTGATGATGTTAACTCGTAACAGGCACAGAAGATAAAGATCTAAAGCTGTTTCATTTTCTGATTTATTCGTTCTTGAGAAACCATTTGAGAACACCTCTGGACAGATAAAAGATGCTCGTGGTGGCTTGTAGTTTGTAGTTCCCCTTACAACTTGCTTGGTTTGGCTCGGGCTTGTATGTGTTGTTGCCTATGCTTGCAACTGCTGCTTGATATGGTACTGCAGCTTCATTTGGCAGCTTCAATGATATTGTTGCTGGAGTTTTTTTTTTGCTTTGTATTTTAGGTATGGTGTCTGTTATATGCTTGCCTAGAGGCTTTAGGAAAATGATCAAAATGAGGCTATGTGTTAAGGCTATGATCATAAGCTGTTATGAAGCAGAATGGGTATGTATAAGACTTTTTAGCATGCTATGTGTTTATGAACTTGGTTTGACTGTTATGTAGTGCTGCATAATTTCACTGCTAGCATGTCAATGTATGCATCTTGAATTGCTTTTATTGGTGTTTTGATGCAGGGATGTTTTGACAGGTTATGGCAGCAGGTTGTGAAACTTTGGCCTAGGCATGGGCGATCTTGAAGCTAGACTTATCTAGTGACCTGAAGAGTTGTGGTTGCAGCATGAGGTGAGTTAAAGTGTGAGACTGACTTGAATTTAGTTGGAGGTAATGAGTCATTGTGTTATGAAGTCAATTGTATAATGATTAGTGTGAAACTCTGTTATGATAATTTTGATGTGAAATCCTATCATGCTAGTGTTGAGAACGTGCATATGTGGCAATGATTGGTATGACCTTGAAACTTGGTTTTGTTTGTTATGCATTGGTGTATGCTATAACTGTTGTGACAGGTTTTTTTTGAAGGTTTGGTGTTGTATGTTGGTTTCTTGGCTGGGTTGGGCAAGGTTTTGGCATGAGTTTGGCTAAGGTTTTGCAAAGGAATTTTGTGAAGCACGAACATGAAGTTTGGCATGAAGATAGTCATGAAAAATATTTGGAGCCATGAATGGAAGATCATGAGGATGAAGAAAAAGTAGGTCTAGGGTGGAGTTGACTTTGGTCAACTTTTTGACCAAAAGTCAATAGTTGACTAAAAGTCAACCATAGGTCAAACTTTGTTTTTTCATGTAATTTGTAAAGGGATCTTTCTTGTAATGAATTTTTGGAAATTTGAATGAAATAGTATAGGTAACTTGTGGTCCAAGCAAACATTTTCACTACTTTTTGAATTTGAATATGCATACTTGCCTCAGCATGTACCATTTGAGTGAACCTTAAAAATTGAATGAAACTTACACTTGACCCTTAATATGAGACTTGAATCATAATCTATGACTTTCCCTCTCATTTGTTTTATTTGAATCCACCTTGAATTGAGTTAACTTGTGCCAATCTTGGAATGAATATGAATCATGGATTTTGACACAAACTTGAATGAAACGTGGATGAATGGACCTTCTCTAACTTCTACCTCTTGGAGATGTCTTGAATCCAAGCCCTAATTGGATAAGTACATCAAGACTTCCTCAATAACTTGTATCTCAAGCCTTAATGAGACTTGAATGGACTAGATGCACCAATGAGTAATTTTTACAAGTGAACTTCTTAAAGACCACTTAATCAAGGAAATAAACCCTAATCAAGAAATAGGAGCGTAAGATGATGCTCCTGATAATTGCATAGCCAAACTTTGAGGATTCACCAAAACCCTAATCATGAGGAATGAATCCCTAGCTCCATGACTTTTGTATCCACTTGAACCACAACCTGTATGAGAACTAGGTTTACACTGATCAAGAATCCAAAATCATAATCCAACCATAACTAATGAAGAAACAACTTGAATCATCCTTGAATGGAAATGAGAATCTCACAGCTAGGGAGGTTCTCTAGCTTGTACATAATACCTTGATCCCATGCCTTAAGAACCTCAATGAAATGCATGATTGTGACCCTTATGACCTACTGGAGATGCATATGAATGAAACACATGCCGGTTAATTTTAGAAATAAGGGACGGTAAATTTTGGGGTGCAACAGTTGCCCCTATTCAATGAACTTGGACCTGAAAGAATGAAAGCGATGACTTTCAGACATTCAAGGCATAAGGTGATTGAATACCAAAAGAACCAAAAAGTTGCAATCTGCGGGGAAAGAAAGGTAGACCATGGATACAACCAACAAATCTACGACCCTGGGAACTGTTTGAAGCTTCTTGTGCAATGAACACTGTGATAGTTAAAAGGCTAGTCGTCAGCACTGCGGCTGGGAAAGTACATTGTATGATATCAGAACGGTGACTGAAACGTCGGTTTGGTTAATTGGGATTACAACATCAACTCTGAGGTTGAGAAAAACTTTGAGTAAACGTCAACTCGGAGGTTGAGAAAAAATGGACATGCGTCAATTCTGAGGTTAAGAAACAGATATACGTCAACTCTGAGGTTGGAAAAAGAGAGGCGACAAATCTGAGGTTGGGGAAGAAAGGCGTCAACTCTGAGGTTAGGGAAGAAAGGTTTCAACTCTAAGGTTGGGGAAAATTTTGGACATGCACTGACTTTGAAGTTGAGAAAAAGATAGACATCAACTCTGAGGTTGAGAAAAACTTAACATCAACTCTGAGGTTGAGAAAAAGGTATACGGACATCAACTCTGAGGTTGGAGTTTGAAAGGAAAGACATCAACTATGAGGTTAGGAAAAAAGTATATGCGTCAACTCTGAGGTTGGAGATACAAGATATATGTCAACTCTGAGGTTGGGAATACAAGCTAGACATCAACTCTGAGGTTGGGAATAACTGGACCGGCCATCAACTCTGAGGTTGGGGGATCACAAGGTAAACATCAACTCTGAGGTTGGTAAAAAGGTAGACATCAACTCCGAGGTTAAGAAGACATGCGTCAACTCTGAGGTTGAGGAAGAAAGGCGTCAACTCTGAGGTTGGGGAAAACAAAGTAAACATCAACTCTGAGGTTGGTATAAAAGTAGACATCAACTCTGAGGTTGGTAAAAAGGTAGACATCAACTCTGAGGTTGGAGAAGACATGTGTCAACTCTGAGGTTGGGGAAGAAAGGCGTCAACTCAGAGGTTGGGGATAGAAGATACACATCAACTCTGAGGTTAGGAATGAATGATAGATATCAACTCTGAGGTTGGAGAAGGTAGACATCGATTTTGAGATTGGAGATAAAAAGATGGACTTCAACTCTGAGGTTGGGACTAGATATTGGTTAATATCAACCCTTGGGTTGAGAAAAAAAATGGATAAACACTGACTTGGGGGTTGATCTAGGCTTTCGCATAAGGTACAAAATCTGGCTTATGCTTCGAATGCATGTTTGAAATTCTTTACGGCATAATGCTCCATATCAAACGGAAATGCTACGCGTTACAGTAGATGCAATGTAATGATGATTACTATATGCAAGATGCAAAGGGAGTTTCCCCGCTAGGGAATGTGTAAAACGGAACAAGCAAACTTCACTGAGGAAGGGATCACCAATATCTGATTTCCTATGGAGAGATAACCAATTGTACCACTAATAACCACTGGCGCTGCAAACTCTGTCGAGGAACCGCATACTAAATCGTGAACTCTGTTGGGAAGATACCAATGAAGATTGAACTTTGAACTACTGAGAATGCCAATAACCATTGGACTTTGACTTGCGGGGAATTATCAGATCTGACCTTTGAGGATGAGAACACTCTGACTTTTCACCGTCTTCAAACTGATTAAATATTCCATCATCTCACGCTGCTAGGAATGAGGAATCATCCTACATCATTGGGGATAAGAAAATACTCATAAAGAACCCTTCTCTACTTGAGGACGACTCTCTTCTTGGGGAAGAATAGGACTTTCAATGTAACACCCTTTTCTACCCCACAATTAAAAAGCACATTTTTCACATAAATCAGAGTAAAATATTAAACTCAATAAGAGCCACCTCAAAAGGGCGTACATTTCTCAAATCCTCAAAATAGGTCAAGGATCCGTAAACAACGGGTTTTCTCAAAATACACCAATTTGCACAAAGCAGCGGAACTCAAAGGCATAAATCAAGGTTTTCCTCATCAGGGAAGATAATCAAAATAAAATCAAAGTAAAACATAGTTTAACTCAAAAGACCTCAACCCGACGTTACATATCAGAGCAAGACCCTCTAAGTTAACCAAAAAGGATAACAACTCAAAACTTCAAAAATATCCTCGACGGAGTCGACGACTAAACCTGGTCATCTGCACATTATTCACATGGAGGTAACATTCAAACAGGCAGGGTGAGTAAAACGGTTCATAATAATCAATGTATAAAAATCAACATATAAAACGACGTCATTTTCATATTCAACACATTCATACCTGTCACACCCTCGTTTTCACCTTTAGTCTTTTACACCCTACATTTCGTCATATCATACATTGTTCTATTGCATATTGAGCATGTGGGTTCACAAGATAAGGATTGGGTCGATTCTTGGTTTTCCATTTCAAATAAGATAATTTGCCAATCATTGGACTACATGGAAGAAAAGATACATCATCAAAGATACTCCATTGGGTCAAGTATGAGCCCAATTTGAGGTGGTCACCAAAGATTAAGAACAGTGCAATTCAGGATCCCCGATTAGGGTTTCTGATCAGGAAAAGTCAACTATAGTTTGACTTTTGATTAAAAAGGTGCTCCAATTATGGAATCATGGTCCATGAAGCTCATATGGCTTAATGAAATCCACTCAAGAAATTTCAAGACCTCAGGAGACCCAGAACAACAACAGTCAATCCGATAGTTATCGATCGATCGTTTCGTTGACCAAAAAGTCAACTCTTCAACCATAAGGAATTTGACCTCAAGGTGTGAAGCAAAAATGTTCCTAATAACATATTACACCTATCCGTGAAGTTTCATGACCATTGGATCAAGGATTGAGGAGTAATATAAAAAGTTGGGAATTAGGATTTTGAAAGGGGCAAGACCATAACTTCCTAACCACACATCCAATTGAGGTGGTTCAAAGCTTGTTGGAAAGGTCTTGGCGAGTCTTACAAAAGTCTCACAATGGTCCATGTTCAAAAAATGCATAGATTTGGAGTTATGATGAAATTCATCACAAGTGGGAGAAAACACTTAGAAAAATTCTAAGTTTCTAGCCTTTTTAGGCATGTTTTCAGCCAACTTTAAGGAGTTTTTTTTACTTAATTCCACTTGGAATCTGAAGACCATGAAAACATGAAAGTTGTAGAGCTCCATGAGGGCTTTCTAAAAAGTACTAGTACTCCTCCATAGCCCTTGTGAGCTGAGAGTTTTAAGTGGAGAATGTTGAGCCTGTGCACTAGTTTGTCAACTTGTCAAAATTCAA